GGGCGGGGATGGGGACCCAGATTTTATTCCCGGCGAGTATCGGGGACGGGGGCGGGGAACGTAAAACTCGCCCCCGCCCCGCCCCGTTGCCATGCCTAGCCGGAAATCACTTCGAGAAAGACGCCTCCACGCGCCACCGTCGTCGCCGGTGCGTGTAGCCCACACGCCTAGCTCCGGTGAGACCCAATCGTTGTCGCTGTCACAGAACGAGTCGCCATAGCCTCTTGAGTCCGTTCAATGGGTTGGTGACGTCCCATTTTGCTCCTTTTTCAGTGTAGCCCACTTATCGTTGTTGCCATAGATAGAGTCATCGAATCAATCCATTACTTCACCATCATCAAATCTTGATATGAAAGCTTTTAAGGAAGAACTAAATTGTTTGAAAGCCATGATTGAATCAATAAGTAAGCCTTCTAGACCATGTACTCTGTCCATGGAAGGTAAGAGTTCTCTCCATACCTTGGTCCTATGACTCAAGGTATTTGGATTCTTGATTCAGGAGCAATTGATCATATGACACCTTTTGGTATGTTCTTCAAATCATATATTAAAAGGAATAGAGAACAACTTATTACAGTTGCGAATGGTCAAAGTGTACCCATATATTGCTCTGGAAATATAGTTTTGGAATCATCTATTGTATTAAAGGACGTTTTACATGTTCCACAACTAGCCAATAATCTTATCTCTGTGCAAAAGCTCACAAAAGATTTAAATTGTTCAGTAACATTTTTCTCGACTCATTGTGTTTTTCAGGACCTTACTACGGGGAAGACGATTTTAACTACTAAGGAGCAGAGTGGGTTGTATCTGTTTGAGTCTGATGACCAAAACAAAACAAAGATTATAAGTCAACAAGCTACATCTGAGACGTGGGCAAATTCCCAAATATGGTTACATCATAAAAGGCTAGGGCATCTTTCATTCAATCTTATGAAATCCTTGTTTTCTCATTTGTTTACTAGGGAGTCTGTTGAGTCTTTTAATTGTGATATTTGTCAATTATCAAAACATCATCGTGCTTCTTATCCTATTAGTAATAGAAAGAGTACTTCTCCATTTGATTTAATTCACTCTGATATTTGGAGACCTGTCGTAGAATCTATTTCTGGAGCCAAATGGTTCTTTACCTTTATTGACGATTGTACCTGTGTCACATGGACATACCTTATGAAAAATAAATCAGACGTTTTTTCAACTCTTTGTTAATTTTTTTCTTCTGCTTTTTTTGAGGGGTGTTTACATATGTTAGTTCATGAACAATACTATTATGAGACAAAAAATTAAGAAATTTATGATTCACATATTCAGTACCATTATCAAACCTGATTCTTTTGATATTTTTTCCAAATAGATCTTTTATTTTTTTTTAAAATTGTTCATATTTATTTAAAAGAGAAAAAGAATAAAAAAAATATAAGAGCGGGGGTGGGGGCGGGGCGGGGAAACCCGGACCTTGCCGGGGGCAGGGATGGAGACCCAGATTTTATCTCCAGCGGGTATCGGGGGCGGGGG